CCCCAAAACCCCAAAACCCCAAAACCCCTTATTATAACCAAGATATTGAGAGTTTAAAAATGGGTAATCATCCCATTTTAAACTTGACCTTTTAAAATTAAGCAATAGAACAGTATATTTTAAGTAAAAATCCTCTTTGGTAAAACCCAAAAGTTTTATTTTCTCTTTTCTGGTTCATTTTATTGTACCCAAATTTGTCCATTAGTTTTAAGATTAAAACTTCTCTTACACTATTTCAACCCTCCCAATCCCATCATAACTGGACGCTTACTATCGATGAGGAATACTGCTGTTGTTAAGAGAGCAGATTGTATCCTCTTGGGTTGTCAGAGAAGAGGGAGAGGTGGAGTTTTGGGGTAGAAGGGAGATTGGGGTGTTGATGTTTTGGGCAAGATGCAAGGCTTTAAAGGTTTAGAAATATTAAATAGAAGTAGTGGTGCTTATTTTATTAATACTGTTTATTTAGAAAAGTCTTATATGGTCTTGATATATTTATCAACTTATGCTACTTCTGACCACTTTTATCCCAATCTCAAGCTTCTAGAAGATGGCTCAAGATCCAACAACAGAAAGTTCAGGGTAAGTACAAGAGTAAATTGGAAGACCGGCTGTTCAAGAACTGAGCAGTATTGCTAGAAGTATTCTCAAGAAGAAAATGTATCTCAAATGGCAAACACTGATAATAATTTTATAATAAAAAAATGAAACTTATGAAAATTAGATAATCAGGACTGAACCTGACTCATCAGAATTGAACCCAAAGATAGACATAGATTTTTATCAGCCAAATTCAAGGTATTGTTGAAACTAAAGAATTGAATAACTGGCAAATAAAGCAGACTGTGTTTCTGTTAGTACAGTAACATCTATTCGTAAGAGAAATCCTCTAGTCTATAAACCTAAAAATTTTGACAAAGTTAGAGCAACAGTGAAATGAAATTATCTTTTTGTGACTCTTATTAAAAGTTTCAAAACGGATTTTCTCATCAACGAAGCAATCCTAGTTTAGATAAAGGAATATTCAATATTTAAGTACGAATTAGGGGTTTTGGGGTTTTGGGGTTTTGGGG